CAGGTGTCTAAATAACAGTGCACACTTTTGCGGGACCGCTATAGGCCTACTTACAAAGGGAAATAGCACGCGAAATTTTCCACATGAAAATCTCTGGATTATGTCTACTTCGCACTCAAGCACGCTTCGGCTTTATGCACGCTTAAGCTGGCATGGACTGTAATACAGCTCCTTTGTGATAATTTTAAAAAACCCACTCTGAACCACCAAATTACAGTCAAACTCGGATATAACAGGACAGACAGGAGCGGCAGTTTTTCCCTGTTATAATAAGCAAGTCCTGTTATAACCGTTATCTAGGGAAACTACCTGTACCATTGCACCTTCAGCTTATATACATTCAATTATCGCAGATCCTTTTCCAGTGGGCTGTTTTGCTGATACTGAGGCGGAATCGATCAGTGACCCACGATGGGGGATGATACCTGTATGTGTTTGAAAGTTTGTGTTTAGGCAAACAATCATACAAACAGGCAAAAGGTCTTGTCTGAGACAAATTTTAATAATTTGACAGATCAAAGGCAAGTTTATGCGATACAACTACAAGATCACTGTTATATCCGAGTCTGCACAAATTGAACCCTTTTATAGCCTATAGAGGAAAAAAAACGGGGATTTGATTTATCAATGTTACATCCAAGTTTCTGTAATAACAGGCTGTTATACATGGACTGGACAGTATAATTATTATAAATATTTATTCCTCCCACAAAAAGCTAGCTCCTCAAATACAAAACCATTAATTTTTTTACCCTTCACTAAGTTAAATGAGAAACACATCAACACAAATGTCTACAAGTGGTTAGAGGGCACTTTCAGTTGGTCCATCTTCTTTACTTTCCTTCACTTGTTTGAGTCTTTCTCTCAACACTAAGTGACCATTATTGTAGCGATGTGCTTCTCTTTACTCAAACAAACAAACAAATAAATAAATACTCAAGTACAGCACCAGGAAAGACCACAAACAAATAACTGAGCCTTTTAGTTTAAGTAGAGGTTTTACGGCGCTCGCTACTGCATAAGGTCATATGAGCGCCAGATTAGAGGTGTTACAAGGAGAGCAACAAACATAAAAAAGAAGAAGGGGAGATAAGGACGATAGATGTTTGATAGGAAAGAAGAAGCAAACCACACCAGAGCACCCGCCACCCACCCACTAACAGAGTCTGGAAGTAAGTGACACCCTTCAGAGCTTACAAAGGAAGACATAAAAAATAAACAGAACAGAGTAGGTCAACATTCACTTGTTTCTAATGCATTGCTGAATTGTGAACAGGTTACAAGTTGAGACTGCACACAAAAAGTAGGGTAAAAATATCTTCTTTATTTCTCGCACTGTGGCTGCAAAACATTGAGGAACTGGTCCACATTTGCCGTTGTACGAATGGCGCAAGGATCAAAGTGTGTGCGGCAGGCGAAGTAACCGCGGTGCTGTATGATGGTCACTAGTTGATCCAACCTGGAACAGAAACAAGGAAACAAAACACTGCCAGTACAAGTTTGCCATGAAGTGTATCAGAATTGGTCGCTTTTAAGCACAAGGGGTCTATCCCAAAAACTGCTGTTTTGAGAAAATCTAAGGTAAAGTTTTGTACCCTTGTTCAATTTCTTTAAAAGACAAGGAGAGTTTTCTCTACAACAAAACAAATATACACACCACTGAAACCAAACTTCTCCTATAGGTAGAGCAAGGCCCATTTTTGGTGTAGGTCAAAATTTCTGGAAACCCCCGAAATCTGGGTTAGCTCTCTTGTCCTAAAAATAAAAAGCGACCAATTATCAACATTTCTTACAGCAGTAACTGCTTGCTGGATAACCCTTTCAAACCGCTCCCTGCACACTACGCCACCAGTCTATATATAATATACATACATATGTGTCACAACGTGGTGAAATCAGGTGCTCGTCAATTTTTGGGCATGTAGAGTTATTGGTATCATCTGAAAGCTGATTTATTTGCCTTGCTTTCAATTAAATAAATATCCATCTATCTTGAATAGAACTCTAGATATTTGCGATTTGAGGAAGTGGGATCGCCTTGTTTCAGTGGTGAAATTTGTAATAAAATGGCCACCAAGGTTTGGTAACTCCTATAGCGAAAGAGTTCTAGAAAATAGAAAAAAATGACATATTTTGTGTCTTTATTAATCAATGTTTACAGTAAAATTCACGTAAAAATGTGTTTATGGACATAAAAGAGGTTGAATCAACCAAACATAAAGATTGGATAATCATTTCCAAACTGGCGGAAAAATGCCTGTTTCTCCAATTTCTCTATTTTGACGAGCGCTTGATTTCACCAAGCTACCTCACATATTATATATATTGAATTGAGTTAAAATACAGTAACTGCGTGTAGAAAGAGTTCAACATATTTAGGAGAAGTGTATCATCACAAGGAAGTAGACCAAAGGAAGAAAAGGAAAGTGTTGAAGGGAACAGTGAAAGTATGATCGAATTTTCTTGTGTTTACTGCATTGCCCCTGTCCAGGAAATTTGACAGTACCTTGTTTTGGGTATTCAAAAGCTAATTGACACAGTAAAGGTTAAGCAGGAGAGAGAGAGAGAAAGAGAGAGAGAGAGAGACTGTGAAAGTAAAATGTATGGCCTTGAGATAAAATAGAGAAAGAGGAGAAGGAAGAGAAACAAAAATAAACCACTAAAACTGCCTTACACCCACTATTGTTCACTCAAAAAGAAACTTAACAAAAATCTCTCTTTTTTTTATCGGCAACATTGCTCAAACTCAAAAGAATTTTCTTTTTCTCTTATAGTTTAAAGAGCATGCAGTAAGACCTTAGTCTCAGAATGCAATTTTCAAACACAAATGCAGTACATTTATTTGAATGAATTCTTTGGTCGATCATTGGTTGAAAACAAAAGCCTCATTAACATATTATAGCTGCACTTCTCCTTGATTTGATGAGAATACTCTTTTTAACATGTGAATGATGGACTCGTAAAGACAGATGAGCGGTGAAATGGAACAGAGAAATTACTCACTTTGGGATTTTCATTTTCTTGAGTTTATTCACATGTTGGTAAAATGGCACATTCCTCGCTGGTGTGAGCTGGGGGTCATCTTTGGAATCCTCAAACCTTAGTTTCTTTACAGGTGTAGGAGCATTCTCAGGTACGCTATCACGGGTACCTTTTCTTTTAGAGCCATCTGGTTTACCATCAGAAGTGACATTAGAAAAAACTGAACATTTTCCATCAGCTCCAGCATTTCCTTCCTCTACAATCTGGGCTGTTTCAGATTTGTCACCCATAGCCTTTTCAGCTCCACAATCTCTGTCTTTGCTTTGTACAGTTTTGTCATTTTGACCATTCGATGGACTAATACCAGACAACGCGCCTCCTTCCCTGCGGTTGTTATTTCCACCCCCATCGCCTGATGAGAAGGAGAGAGTAGCGCATACTGATTCACACTGCAGAAGAGAGACCAGTGTTGAGAATTTTGCACTGAGTCCTAGCGACTTCCCCTCTTGCTGCATCACATTCAGGAAAGTGGGGCAGTAAATTGGACCTTTCCTGAAACAAACAAATCGTATAAAGAGGGCATTAATTAAAGTAAAATGGCAACTCTTGGTGGAGATTTAAAAATGACCACTCACAACACAAAATAAGCCTCAATGACAGAGCATCATGTTTCAGTATACAAAACTGACAAAAATTTTGGATTTTCTAAATTTAGCAATCAAGAGCACATATAAAAGAGAAATCTTTGAGCCAGGAATTTTAGATTGCACTTTAGACACTAAAAGAGGGCCTGAACAACTCTCGTCCCAGCACCATGAGGGATGGAGAACATTTCAAATTGACCATCTGTCTTAGATTAAACTAAAAAGGGAGCTATTCAACATCAAAGTTCTCCCTGCAAAGTAATCCATTTTATAGCATAGCTGATTTGGCTGCATGCCAAGTAAACAATGTGAGAAGAATAGTCTCTTGTGGTTACAAAATTTTGCCAATGTCAACAATATTGAATGAATCAATTTCAACAAAGAAGACCTATATGATTGATCACATTTTTCGTAACTTTTGAGCAATTATGCAATGCTTTTTACAGAGAATGGTACCGGTATTCTTCAATTTCAGTTATCTGTTCAAAGAAGTCACTGTGTAATGAGCCTGAAACTATACAAATTTTAATTTCCTAATGCAGCTCGCTCATGCGCTTGAGTATAATACTTGGTTACTCAGAGAAATCTCAGCTCTCAGTCTATTATTACTACATAACAATTTTTTAAAACCCTATCCGTACGCCCTGGGGTCATTTTGTACCCCCGAGGTTGTATTCTTAACATTTTAGAATACTTTAAGTATGAAGATCTCTTTGATACTTTCAGTATTTCTCAAAAAATAATTTTGACAGACTGCTATGCAAAGCATACGAATCGGATTAACGAGTAAATTTCCTCTTTGGAAAGTGGTGGCACAGAGTTCCCCACGTCATATGGATACGATACTAATACACAACGTACTGATAGCGTTAAACAGAGAGAAAAAGAAAAGTGCATTGTTGATGTCAACCTTTTTTAAACTTATCAGTTATACTCGCAATTCCTCACCACATGGGTCCCAGCAGGACAGCAGTCTTGCCTGGATTCTTCTCTTTGCACTGGCAGGGCAGCATGCTGTAGGGATTCTCTGTCAAACAGACAATTGTGGTACAATCACTCAAAGCACAGTTTATTGTTGGCCTACAGGATGATGTTGGGGTACCAACAAACCACTAAACTAAAGTTTTACCTCACAATTCCTAATCAAGCTTTTCAGAGCAAAAGTGACTAGTAGAAATATATTTTTCGACAAAGAAGTTGAGGCTGCTTCAGTCGGGAAAGGGGCAAGGATATAAAAAAAGTAGCAACAAATATGAGAAAGCAACAAGTGGAAATATTCCACATTAAGGCACCTCTGATGTTTTAAGTCAAGAGCGTTATCATAATATGGATAACTCAAACATGTCAGGGATTGACAAATGAGTTTGACATATCCATACTTCGGGTAAACCATAATAGCAAAAAATTAAAGAGATATCAGTCCAGGAAAGGCAAATTGTAAAAGCTCTTTGTGATTTCGAGTTTTCTGTGTTTATGATGTGATCTGTGCCCAACTCTATAATGAAACTTATGAACAATAATTGAACAGTAATATTAATATTGTCCACAAGAATGGCGTTCTATTGTAGAAAAAGACGGGTCTCTATAATTTGAGAACATGTCCCCTCCTGCAGTGAAGGGCAAAGTCTGAGTCCATGGTTGGGGAGGGTAAGTAAGCACATAAAGTTTTAAATCCGTTGTGCAGACAGATGCTCATAAAAACAAAGCTGAGAAATGCGTCTCAAAACAACACACTCTTTTTTCTTCTTTTTTTTTTAGTAGAGGTTTTACGGCGCTCGCAACTGCATAAGGTCATATGAGCGTCAAGGGGTAGATGTCAACAGAGAAGTCCTTACAGGGAATCGGGGAATGGCCTAAAGACACTTTAGTCAGTTTTTTAGGTTTTACTCGACGTCTCGGCAAGACAGACTTTAGAAATGATCCCTAAAAGTATGATCTTACTTCAGTCAGTAGCACAGCCCCGAGGTGTTACACACTCTTTGACAGTAACAAAGACACACCAGTCAGCACATACCAACAGGTGCCAGTTGTTGCGGCATGAACACTCTCTCCTCACAGAACCGACAGTGCATCAGTTTACAAATCTCGTTGACTGACGATTCTGTAGCGGTGTGACCTCTGGTGACTTTGACACACACAAGAAGGAAGTCCTCCACTGCCAGCACATACTGAGGTACCAGCGCTTTGTTGTATCTGCCAGCTGATCTGTATGTTGTCAGGAGAAAAATACAACAGTCTGTTAACATTATCTCGATGTATTATGCCATTCTTGGAATCTACATGTATTGGAAGGTGGGTGAATTCCACACCCTCATGAACAGCCCCTAAAGCCAACAGAATTTGACATTCAGCTTTAATCATTTGTTTCTGTCTGTCTCGTTTTAATTTTCAATTCAGCTTTAATTTCTTGTGTTGTATGTCTATTTCTTTAATTTCATTATGGCATGTGTACTCATGCGGGTGTGGATTTGCCCTGCAATGTTGAAATTTTAATAAAGGTGAAAAAAAAAATGGAATGAAAATAATGGTGAAAAAAGGGAGTATCAGACCCAAAGTGAAACCGTGTCCTCTTTTTACATAAAAGTAGCCTTTATAAAACTTGTCTCAAAATCCAACAGCAAAAGTATGGTGTGGAATTCCCCCATCTTACTCAAAACCTACTCATCCAACCCCCAACTTGACCACACAGATCTGGGTCTAGCAAAGGCAGTACATGCCATTCATGTGGAAACTACTGATGGCCACTGCGGCATAGTGCACTCCTTTCACCTATTTTCACCTCTGCTTTGTCATAATCCGCATCCTGGAGAAATGTGACCATCATCAAGCTGAACCACAGTTATGTAAACTGAACCACAGTTATGTAAATTAAACACAGAAATAAATCTTGTAAAAAAGAAGAAACCAGTCCAAGTCCAAGATGCAACCATTAAGGGAATGGTTAGAACAAGACAAATCTAACACTACATAGCATGAAACAAAACTATAGGGGGAATGGTTAGGACAAGAAAAATAAATCCAATACTGAAAGACAATAAACAAAATTACAGTATAACACGGATAGCTCGAATTCATTGGGACCGGCCTCGGCAGTTCAAGGGATACACAGTTAGAGGGATATCTTACAAAGATAAAGAAGAAGAAGAACAAAAAAGGGGGGACTGTAGGCACAGTTCGACAGATGCGTGATTTCGAGTCTTCTGTGTTCGACCTATCTATGTTTTACTGTATAAGGGTAGATCAGAACAAAAGAATTCCAACACTACATGACAAGTCACCCATCTAAGACTAACCTGTCGAAAGGAATCCTCCATTCCCCCCCTCACCCCACCCCTCACAACCAGCCAGCCCAGTAAATAATGCAAGATGCCTTTGCCGTGGAGTCAGACTGAAACTAAGATGATGAAATAGATATATAATATATACTGGTAGATCTACAGTCAAACCTGTGTAAGACGGCCACCCATTGTCAAATAGAAAAGTGGCCGTATAAGACAGGTGGCCGTATAAGACAGGTGGCCGTCTTAGGCAGGACTGATCAAGATGAAGAAAACAAACCATTCCCATCTGAGGTCCCAATCGAAAGTAGCCGCGTTGTTGCTGTTTTTGTTGTTGGTGGTGGTGGTGGTTTGTATTTTGTTTGTAATTTTTATTTTGTTGCTGATTTTGCACAAGGGTGACAATATAACGAAATGTATCAGACGAGGAAGAGCGAGTGCCATGTTAAAACAAACACACGGAGAACGAGCGTCGCTTCTGTCACAAGTTCATGTTGACGTTCATTGTTACTTTGTTACAGACTGGGTAAACAGTGACCACTCATCTCACGTACGATTTGTGTTTGAGTTCTGGGCGGGGCTTATGGGTTATGAGGGATAACACGCTTACCTCACCAGCAGCTGAAAATTAGTAGCTATTGGTCAACAGTGGGAGGGGCCTACGCAACAAGATCGGTTGGAAGGACTACCTAATAACAACGACAGGGGATTGAATTATGACGGCTCACCCACAACGCCAGGGGCCAATGCACAATTTTTGACTAAACGTAATGGAGTCACTAAGGTGGTCGTCTAAGACAGGTGTTATTGCTTTGTGTGATAGGGGTTGTGTGTTAAAATCAAGTGTCCGCGGCCCCGTTGGACAGGTGCCCGTTTTACACAGTTCAATTATATAGAAAAAACGCAAGGGGGGAAATGGAAGGTGGCCATTTGTACAGATGGCCGTCTTATAGAGGTGGCCGTCAGTGCAGGTTCGACTGTACTTGAAACTCCAAATACAGTCAAAACTGTCAAAGATGGCCATCCACTCTTGGTGGACGTTTCACACAATGTCATTATAATGTAAAAAATACACAAGAGAGCAAATGGGAAGTGGCTGTTTGTACAGGTAATTTCTTATACAGGTGGCCGTTAGAGCAGGTTTGACTGCATTTTGATTCCCCAAACCATCTGAAAAGTTTCAGACAGATGCCTATGCCTCCTACCAACATCCCCATCATCCTTCAAAATGTCAACACAACCTGACTCCATTGTAGTGTTGTAGTGTAATGTACTTACGCAGCAAGGTCAGCAAGTACAACCCGAGCAGCCATTTCTTTCAAATATTCCGTCTTCATGACGTCCACTGCGTACCAGCGCTTCACAACATGCGGTGAACGGGCAAACATGGAGGAGTCGGAGACCACAACACACAGCATTCCTCCAGGAGCAATACTATGACAAGCTGACTCCAAGTATGTAACACAGTTTTTCCAAGCATTGATGTATCTGGGGGAGTCAGAAACAGAAAATGTGAAAAGCTGAGATTTTTCATCTGAATTATTTCAATGCTGTAAGACTTCAATTTCAGCAGATCGTATTACCTCAGTTGACAGTTCCACAACTCTTGGTTGAAAAAGGTTGGCAAAACAGTAAAGCCGCAATTGCTGCCAAATGATTTACTGTAAAGGTATAACATTCCTCAAATATTCTTTCTACTATTATATTTTGCATATACCCTATTACATCATTACTGCATACTGTTTCACATTCAAAAAATCTATAACTGTTCACTCATACTGTGGGTTAAAAAGATAACTACAATTGGGGGAGAGACTGTTCTTTAAGTGGTGAAATGCCAAACACCTATCAACACAAGTTCAAACAAAGACAAAAACTGCAGACCAAACTGAATATAACTCGTTCAGCATAGGAAACCTCAAAAATTATTATTCTCTGCACAGAAAAGATTTAACTCACATGTACTGAAAAGTCTCCATCATCATGACAGCTTTCGCATCTGCTTGACACACATGGACCTCACTTGTCCCTTGCTTATCGGTGGGGTCACCAGGAACTCTGCACCCATCAAGACAAAATTTTCTGGTGGTGAGCGAGTTTTCTTCAGCATTGGCAGTCAGCAGTGATACATCAGAGTGATCAGAGAGGGTCACACGGACTTCATCTCCAAGTTTTTTCTTCCACTGTAAACCAGTCACCCCTTCATGTGATGAAACAATCTTTTTTTAAAGTTTACATACACATGAAATCTTTCCCAATTAGGAAAGTTATTCTGAAGACAAAACAGAATCTACTAAAATCTAAAGTTACTCTTTATCCCGAACAAATGCAAAAGTTCTGAGCAGCTTTTTTTACTATAAAAATAACCGTTAATGCTGAAAATTAGCTTCCAAATTAACAGTTAACATCTATATTATAGTCTGAGAGACTTGATGAAAAGAAAGAAGTATGGATTAGTTTGGAACAATAATTCAATGAAACATCAATTGCAGATCCTCACCAGTGTTTGCAAGAGCATCAAGAGCTGAAACTAGAGAATCACATTTTTGCGTAGTTGAGTCTCCTTCAGCATTCTCAGTTTGCTGTTTGCGCTGGCTTTGTGCAGTCTTTGTCTTCAGCAGGGCTGACAGTGTGGCAAGAGAAAACTCTCTGTGATTTAAACATGTGAAAGCAAATTCTGTTAATGGCATTAACTTTCAAAGAAGGTAGATGGTCATGAGAGATAAAGTGTCACAAGTCACCCGATGCAATTTACAGCCACCTGTCCAAGAAAATCACTTGTACAAATGACCACTTCCCACCCCTTTGCTTTCTGTTCTCCCAAAAGTCCGAGAGCAAATATGTGTTTTTGTATGTGTGTGGAATACAGTGTTGCTATGATATGGGGTACTCTGGGATGACTTTGCCGAGGAAATAGGGTCTGAATGCGGCCATGTAATTGGTGATTGGTAAGAGGATTTCTGGAAGTGAAAATTGTTTGACTGGTTTGAGATGTGATATTGCAGTGTGAACAAGGTTAAAATAAATCTTTCATTGAGACGATTGAATATTGCTTCCACTCTACTTGCTTCTTCAATTATTGCAGTGTCACGGGTGTATTTTCTTGTTTCTGTAAAAACTGTGTTTGTTAATTCCTTGTATACCTGGGGATGGAGGTACTAGTGACAGTGATTGCCCACGAATGATCTGCTGTGGTATGCTTTGGGTGGGATGCGACGTTTGAATTACACTTTGCTTTAAAACCCTCATCCTGCGGGAGCCGGATTTATGTCGCCCGATAAGCCTATTTCAGCACCTCGCCTACGTTCTAGTCCCAAATCAGTGTAGCTCCTGGCTCAGCGCACGTGCAGCACGCATCCTCTTGGGTCCCAAGTCGGATCCCCATTCACGCAGGTCAAGTGTTTGTGCGTCAGTCTACTTGAGTTTGTGTGCGTTATTGGCCTTCTTCTAGAACCGCCTGCGTTGGTTCGTAATCGAGGAATACGTCTCATTCAAAACATGCCAAGTTGGCAGCTCTAGATGTTCGTCCAATGAAATTATAGAAGAAATTGACCCACTTAGACATGAGGAGCTCGAAAGGATAGTCAGGAAACAAGACTTCCATATAAATGTTCGCGGAATACGACTGTTCATCTTCGTCCTTCACATCAATCCCATAAATCAAGAGAGTATCTCCTGCCATATATATATATATATAGATCTAGATATACAGAAAAGAGTTTGGTAAGATTGTACTTTACCGGACCACCGGTCGGAATTACTTTCGCTATGGCGCCCTTGGTGCCTAGTGGCCCGCTATTCTTCGTTTCCGAGCTCCCCTACTCAGTTTTCTACGTCCTCACCCTTCGACTGCCAACAATCGACTGGCGTCTCTTACCGGGTTTTTCAGTCATCACGACCGTGCCACAGTGCCGTGCCCTTTGACCCACGACCCTGACACCTTGAGGCTAATTGGTCAATCTAATCATGTGGTCCACTATTCTTATTAATTTGCTCGCGACTCTGCTGGCTTGGCCTACTCCTGGTCCGGCAAAGTACAATGGAGGGCTAGAGATGCGCACGAGAGCTCATTTGCATAATTGCAACCCCCCTCAGTCTCAGCCCTGCTCGCCACTTGGCGAATATCTACCCCGATGGTCCGCTCATGTTATTGTTTTTATTATGTGTGTGTGTCTTTGAATTATTGTTGCCAGGGGGGCTAGCCCCCTGAAACCCCCCCTCCCCCCACTGTTGTTACATTGATATGTAAACACGACTGTCCGCTCATGTTATTGTTTCGCATTTGTGTGTTATCTTTAATATTTCCAGAGTTTTTCAGAAACGTTTTCCTCTTACTCTCTCACCTCACATGTTACTAATATAACCGGTTTTATCAGTTTCGAGTGAAAGACAAGACAGAGCGGAAAGTAGATCTTGGTTACGACAACGAAAGTGGCTATTCTCACCCGCCCGGAAGTTCACGCAAGATCAACTCCTCCCCTCTTCTCTCTCTCTGTCTCTTTCTGAATACTGTCTATCGGTGTGGACGATCAAATTGACCAAAACAAAGTTAAAAAGTGATGTTAAATTTTAAAACACAAAAGTAAATTAATTTGGTTGTCTACAAAGATGCTACAGCTATTTAACTTTTCGAATCGAGCCGAACTACGCGGGTCGCCATTTTGTTTTGCCCAGAAATTCTCGCGCTACTCCTCTCTCTCTTTCTCTCTCTCTCTCCACTGCCCACAGACAAAATTGTACGCTTTTAGTTTTTAGTAAGCTACAGTTGTAATGGAACGTTTGTTCACGGCACAGAATTCTACAATTTTTCTGTTATCACAGTGTAGAATTCTGTGGTTTAGGGTGAACGCAAAATTTGGTGAACGCGCACCGGGTTAGAATAGCCACAAGACTCGCCTGCACTATTCTCACTCCGGGTGAGAATAGAGGTGGCCTACGACAACGTCGATTTCAAGGATCATCGTCCTTCACTATTCGATAGGTGGCAAGTCATAAAAATAGTGTTATAACTACCTGAATATTTTGAGTTTGGGGTTGAAGGACTTTGCTTTCGACTTCTGTTTGCCTTCTGCAAATTTTTTAAATTTTACCCCAAGCTCTTCTTGCACAGCAGATCCCGTTTTATCTTCCATGTTGATTTATTCAGCAATTTTGTTGTGGTGATATAGGATAGTTTACAGCAGTTCAAAAATAAACATCTATTATTTACTATGGAAACGTGTTCACACATAATTCAAAATTACGCGTATTCGCTTGATTTAAAAGCCACCCACCCAACCATGCACACACACACACACACACACACACACACACACACACACACACACACACACACACACACACACACACACACACACACACACACATTGAGGTGGGGAATAGGGCAGAAACCAAAGGTCTCTCAAGTCTCTGTTCTGAAGCACATTAGGCCTTAGGAGTCTAATAATTGGCAATTGGTCGCTTTAAGGACAAACGGGCGAACCCAGATTTCGGAGGTTTCCAGAAATCTTGACCTACGGTACACCAAAAGTGGGCATTGCCCTAGGCCTTCCTATAGAATAAGTTTGGTTTCATTAGTGTGTATATTTGTTTGGTTATAGAGAGAAAACTCTCCTTGTCTTTTAAAGAAACTGAATAAGAAGGGTCCAACAACTTTACCTTCGATTTTCTCAAAACAGAACTTTTCGGGATAGCCCCATTGTGCTTAAAAGCGACCAATTATAGCAAGTGTATTCTAATGCTTTGAATATCTGCACAAAACAAACGTTCTATTAGCTCTAAAAATAGGGCAGAAATAATACTAAGTGACCATAGCCACCCACTGACATTAGAATTTCAATTATCGACCCGCAATAAACGATATAATCTAGGCATACAGCCTACATTTATTTCCAAAAAAGCAAGAACAGACAGATAGATTCTATCATATATATATATATATATATATATATATATATATATATATATATATATATATATATATATATATATATATACATACATACATACATACATACATACATACATACATACATACATACATACATACATACATACATACATACATACATACATACATAGAAATACATTCGTACCAGCTGCAGTGGGGTTACTGAACACACAGTGCTACAACTACAAAAGAAACAGAGAGAGAGAGAGAGAGAGAGAGAGAGAGAGAGAGAGAGAGAGAGAGAGAGAGAGAGAGAGAGAGAGAGAGAGAGAGAGAGAGAGAGAGAGTTTCGAAGCGGGTTGTTTCAGCACGTGAAACATGCATTTACTACATGATATCCTGTCTTGTGCGTATGCGTGAGTGCACCTAACCGTTGTAACACCCACTTCCATTGTAAACGCCCAAGACAAATTTCTCCCTGCGATATGAATAAAGATTGTCATTGTCGTTCTTTATTGTCATTTCCAGTTTCCTTTAAAATAATTGTTCTTGCATTCTGTTAGGTAAAGGGCTACCTCGAACTTCCTGGTATTCTCTTGATTTCCAAACCCGTGTTTCAGAAAGAAGAGCGTGTCTGCATATTTGTAGACTTAGGACCTACTTGGTATGCATTTCAGATAAGAGTTAAAATGGGGGGGGGGGGGTCATTCGCTAATAATGTGTTGCCTGCTATTATTAACATTGCACTACACTAGACAAGAACAAACCACCCTCGCGCCAAACAGCCCACACGTGTTCTCGGTGAAATTATGCACAAGTGACAATTAGAGCTTCGGGTGACAAGCCCAGGTTGGTCTTTTTTCCTAAGGTAACAACATGTCGGCAGCCAAGCGCAAGAAGTGACTAGATCTAGATCTATATATATATCCACTTTTCACAGTTTCGAGAAAAACGAGTTTGAAATTTGGACGATTTTGAAATCTCTATAAATAGATCTAGTATACAATTTAAAAAAAAAAAAGAAACGGTAATAACTGGATACCGTTAAGCTACGGCTTGACCTAGATATTTAAACTACAGAGCCAAAAGAGCGGTTTAAAATCTCACTACATGTACCAATATTACAAATATCGATTTCTACATTTGACTAAAAGTGGATATTATACTTATAGTCACTCCTTGCGCTGAGCCATCGATGTGTTCCAACAAAAGAAAAAACTTGTTGTCTAGAGCAGTAAGATATTTCTTTTTAGCAAAATAAACAATTTAAGAGAAAAAAATCCCGCGGTACAGCTGAAGATACCCTTGCATTGCATGCTCTTCTTGTTTCTCGTTTAAACACGGCTAACAACATTACATGTATACTGGGTTAAAACAAATCTTGAGTCCCCCAAGGGAGTTCGGAGTATGTACTGTTGTAGGCTTACTTCATTCAAGGTGTACATACATCTTATGAAGGTTATGTTGTGGACAATAGCACGGGTGGCTGGTGAGCGTTGTGATGTGGTTTGCTTCTTCTTCTATCACTTATTACATGTACTTTCGTCCTTTTCAACCCTCCTTTTTCACGTTTGTTACTCTCTTATAATACATGTATAAACTCTTAGTCTTTTACATCCGGCATATCACCTGAAGTGTTGCACGTGCAGTAAAACCTCTATCAAACCAAACCAACTAACTGGGGTCTCAGCATCATACTGAAAGAAGTGAAAGGGTTACTTATGTTACAGAATGTTCCCATCCCTATCATTCATATACCGAGTTTGAGATGAGCCAGAGAATAGATGGGTGGTTGGCTGCAGGTGTTCTGGTGCAGTCTGCTCCCTCTTTCCTTTAACTTAAAAAAATATATCGTCCTTTTTTGTGTTTGTAGCTCTCTTGCAGCACCTCTAATCTTCGGCAGTAATGACTTAATTGTGTTGCAAGTGCCCTGAAAAGCTTACTAAGACTAAAGGATGGAGCTAATTCTGTTAATTCTCCCAAGTCTATGAGAAAAGGGATGAGCACATGGGTTACCACAACCATATGAAAAGAAGTCGGTCCGGTAGGTGGAATGGAAGAAGGGGAGTAGAAGATAGTTTCTGGGAACATGCTTTAGTATATATTGAAGTAGGGCTATGACACTGACGGGTGAACATCAACGTAAGCAGAATCCAAAATCTTATCTTTAAAATAAAAAGGGGGGGGGGTCTTATACCTATAGATTAGTTAAGAAGAAAAAATGGCTGATTTAAAAAACAAAACCAACGAATGCATTATACTATACAGTATGCCACATGACAAAGGCCTGCTTCAGGTTCAGTGATTTAACATGTTTTCAAGTCCATGAAAATCAGCAGGCCTGCAATTTTACAGAGCTTCAAGTTCAAGAATCAGAGGTAATACTAATGGCAATGGGCAAGGTCACATTTGGTCTGTGGCCATGCTGTTTTTTTCACTTCTATTGCAGCCACCTTACATCCTTTTCTGGCGATGATATATTTGAATTGAATATTTCGGAACAGGGGGGATTCAATCATTAGTTATTATTATTAAATAAGCCTAGCAATTATCACAGTTTGAGTTTGTTAGAATAAAAAAGAAGCACATCAAAACAATAACGGTTACTTACAGCAAGACAAAAAGACAGAAAGAACAGGTGGAAAGAAAAGTAGAACCTACACTGTACCAGTATGGCACCCTCCAACCACCCACACAATCATTAGAAAGAAACCTAAACGGGTAAGCAGTAAAGATTGTATACAATGAAGGCCATTCATATCGAGATACCTTGAAAAGTTTTCACTTTCAGATGGCATATTTTTGTAATTTAAGTTTAAGTTCACAGAAACACAGTTGCATTTCGAATTCAATTGACACCAAACATGATTTTCGAGGTACCAAAAACCATCAAGTCAGTGGTTTTTCCCTATTAATAATGTTTCCATTGTCTGAGACGGGGGTGCTCATAAAGTCTTCAATACAAATATACAATAGACACCCCTAAAATGGGACCCAACTTCAAATTGGGCACACATTATGTCAATACTCGCAAAGTTCTTGAATCTAAATTTTTTGGCGGGCTTTCTCTTATGACCTCAAAAAACTACTTCTGAGAACCCCCTAATATTGCAGAAACAAGTAGTCGTTTCCACCTAAGATCCCACCGCTTACGAAACAAAAATGACTGTCACGTCGCCGGCTATGGAAGACTTGCCCAGCCGGTGAAGCCGGAGGGTGGCCCACGGACGAGTTCAAGTAGTCGGAAATTTCGGCAGGAGCCGGAAAACTTTCACCCCTGGATCCCAGTTCGCTTACGTTCCCAGCTCGCTTAAGATCCCGCTGTTTTAAGAAAACTTAATTTTTACTATACAAAAGTCACCCCTAAGATCCCGCTCTGATTCACTCTAAACTCTAAGATCCCGCATTTCACATCACAATTTGCGGAACAAAAACGCGTGTGGGCACAGCCAATCAACCAAGAGTGAAAGGTTGAGATCAATAAACTGTCCGTCACGTCAAAGATCAGCCACTATCGCGAATGCGATCACATACACATTGTAAAACTAGATGAAGCGATATAATGTTTGCCCCAGACGGGATCACACTGGGATGTGAACTGACCGACACTTTTGTTTTCCCCGTGCATCACACTCACACCTGAGCTCTCCCCCTAAACTTACATCACTCGCTGGGTGGGTAGGGCCTACACGTTCGCCCCAGGCCGGATCACATCGAATCGTGAACTCTTCAGTTGTCTCTACTCCCGAATTAGCGAGACAGACTGAATTTTCATTGGTGTGTTCACAATGTAATGGTGTGTAACGGCAAAGGTGGTTG